CAGAAGCAACCGCTGTGAAAAGAAGGCTGGATGTCACCCAGGGATTATACAGAATGCAAGAGAAACTTGGGAACACCAACATGTAAAGAACAGGTATAGGAAGAGCATCCAGAATCAGAACAAAATATTACCAAAGGTGTAGAATAATATCATATATGGAAGGTTTTTGTTTTGTTGTTCTCTCTCTCTCCTAAATATCAAATACGTTATATTCTATTGCTATGAATCTGACAGCTAGACAATGAATAATAATTGGAAGAAAAAAATTGGTGCCTTTGAGTTGTGATGTTGAAGGAGAAGACTGACTATCTGTCACAAGAACAAACAGGTATGTCTTGGAGAAGATGAAGCCAGAGTGTTCCTTGGAGGCATTCGTGAAGCTTTGTCTCGCATGCTTTGGGTATGTTGCTAGGAGTGGCTGCTCCTTTAGAAAGACATCATGCTTGGAAAGGTAGAGGCATGGCAAAGGAGAAGAAGGTCCTTAACTAGGTGGACTGACACAGTGACTGCAGGAATGGGCTTCAGTGTGTCAGAGACTGTGAGGGTGACACAGGGGAGGATGGGGTTCAGATCTGTTCATAGGGTCCCCAGGAGTCGTACTCAACTGGATGGCACTTAATAAGTATCAAATTGAAAAAAAAAAAAACAAACCCCCAAAAAAACCCCAAGTAACAAATCGGAGTTCTAGTGCCTTCTTGTTGTTGTTGCTGCGTGCTGTCAAGCCTGACCTGATCCACAGATGACTTAGTGGTAAAGAACTGCACTGCCAAGCCAAAGGTATGCAGTTCAAATCTACCTGCTACCCTGCAGGAATAAGATGTGCAATCTCCTCCTGAGAGATCTGTCTTCAAAAACCAGCTGGAATGTCAGTTCCAACTCGACAACAAGAAGATTAAGTATCAAATACTTCAGAGAAGTTAAAACAGATGACCATGTAGAGGTATCTATTGACTGTGGCCTCCAGGTAGTCACTGCTGAAAAAGGCTACCAAGATTTTAGTGAAATAATGAAAAGGTAAGTCAACATTCATTGATGTCCAATTGGAACTGACTCACAACTGGCCCACCAATGGATTTTTCCAAGACTGTCAATCACTTGGGAGAAGACTGCCTACCTTTCTCTTGAGGAACTGCTGGTGGATTCGAACCTCTAAAGAGGCCTTTGGGTTCACAGTGTAATTCCTTATGGATTACGGTATCAAAGATCCTTTGGAAAGTTAGAGGCTGAAAAACAGGCAACAGCTAGTTGATTGTTTACAAAGTGTATCTATGATGCAGCAGAGAAGAGGGGGGGAAATCTCCTAAAAACAACGGAGCATTTGGGGAAATATAAAACCAAGAGAAAGAAGAGTTAATTTCATAGTTACCATTATAATAACTTTTCAAAGATTCTTATCTCTCTTTTATTGTCCAAAATGAGATGAACGGTATTTTACTGCTCAAATAAAAACAAATCGAGGCTTAGGTAAAGAAAGACTTTAGTTGAAGAGATGATTCCAAGAGGGAGAACACAGACCGTAAGGCCTGAAAGTACCTCACAGTAAAGACAGAAAAGAACTTTTGATTAGAGACGTAAAACAAGGCTGGAAGGAACGGCATGAAGGAGCGGAGTAAGTGGAAGGAGCAAGTGATTGTACAGAATGCTTTTCAGCGCTGTCATCCAAGTCTCAGAGAGGGTGGGGAAGTGGAGGCCAGGCAGCATTCCAGAGTTTACTTGAGCTCAAAGGTGGAACACAGTTCAAAGGCTTGAGTGAAGGAGAGAAGCTGGCGGGAAGTTTGGTCAACTCAAGGTGCTAGGCATTTTGTCTTGATCGATCAGTGAGGACAAATAGTTCAGTCAATTATTTATGGACCAAAGACTGATAATCTGGTAAATGTTTAGTATCACAGTAAACAAAATAATCACCCACCAGTGCTCGAGGATATGGGATCGGTGGTTCTTTGTAGTAAACTGTTGTCGGAATGCAAATGGGTGAGGGAACTTCAAAACCCTCCTTGATTTCCAGGACCACTGGGCACAGGAAAAGTTGAACACTGTCACTACTAAACTAAACTAAACCCCACACAAAAACAAAACACCATGCAGGAATGATTATTAGAATAGCAAGTTAAGAATAAATCCAGGGGATCTGAGAGCTGTGAGTGGGTATACCACAGAGAGAGTGGTAACACAAAGGCCTTATGCAATTCTGTGTCCAAAGTCAGCCTGAGCTACGATCCCTCCATAGGTCTCCACGTCATGTAGGTTAAGAGTTTCTGTATCACTTTCCCCTGGATGATAGTTGTTCTTACAGTGAGCCATTCACTAAATTTGACTCTTGTCAAATTAACATTATCTTACTTCACAGATAAGAAGACCTGAGTTGAGGGGTGAGTAAGAGCCAGGGCTGGAATGAAAACTCAGCATTCCTACTCTTTATGAAGTTGTCTTCTCCTGCTAGTACTGCTCACATGGTTGGCTTTTAATTCCCATGCCTGTTGGCCTCAGAGAGCCAGCCCATCCTAGGATGTTTACAGATGACTCCGCGAGAGGTCACGGTCCTTAACAGCACCATTCGTTACTAATGGCACTTGTTTTGATTCTCTGTCACACTCCAAAGCCTTCGAATGGCCCAAAAAGGAACATACTGTGAACAGAGAGACTGGAAACAGAGAGATCTGGACAATGATGACAGGAAGCTTTTTGGTGACTTTGTCTTTTAAGCAAGATACCGACCAGCAACAACAGCCTGGCATGCAATGGCAACAACGAAAGAGCCCTTCTCTCCCTCTGCCTGCACCTCGTCAGCCCTGACTTTGGCAATCTGGGCCCACATCAGCTAATAAAGGGCATCAATAGCCATCCGGCTCTTTTCACAGCCGCCATCATATTCATGAGAAACTTCTCTGGACGAAGTTCTATAAAAGGGTCTGTATGGACAGCTCATGACCACAGGAAATTGTTATGGGTTGCTAATGATCAACCCAAGGCCTCCTTTGTCACCCCCTGTGGGCAAGATGTCAAGGGAGTGAACTATTTGCTCTCCCGAGAAGGTTAAAAATGTACTAACTATACACACACAACAGGCCCCACACTGATGAGATGCTTTACCAAGATGCTACTAAAACACTTCCAGGTCAATGTATGAAAATCATGTGTTATTGTGAGGGGAACACGTTCATAGAATATGATTTTTCTATTCCCTGTCCTCAAACAAGCAGGTATACCTCTTCTCTTGTTGAGCTTAGAGTATGCTAACGGAAACATCCTGAAAACACAGTACTATTTAACAGGCCTTTGAAAGCCAGGCAAAAAAGATAGAGAAAATGATAAATTGGGTCCCAAGCCACCTCTCTAGGATCTACACCCCTTACTTTCTGGATTCTAATATATTTTTTAAAATTTGTTATTTTTATTATTTTTTTTGTGCATGTACCGTCAAATCAGATCTGACTGTACAGGAGGAAATTGTCCCTCCTTCTCTGGCAGAGCATCTGGTGGATTCAAACCATGTACTTTGGGATCTCAGTACAGCTTCTTGCCACTAGGCCACCAGAGCTCCCCTTGGATTCTAATCTCTTAAGTGTTCACCCTCGCCAGTGTGTTGAATGAACCAGGTTCTATCCTAAAACAGGGCCCACTTCTCTGTTTTCTATCAGCTCCTCATCCTGCTTGTTGGAACACAAAAGGCTGAGGGAACTTGAAAATCTTCACTGTTTTCCAGGAGCACAGGGCGCAGGAAAAGTTTAACATGATCACTACCAAACTGAACCTCATTCAGAAAGAAAATATTAGTCACGTAGGCACGACTACTAAAATAGCAAGTTAGGAATAAATCCAGGATCTGAGAGCTCTAAGGGGGTATGTCAGGTACAGAGTGGTAATGCCTGCTGGGTTAACTGCATGCTGGGTTAATTCTTTCTCCTCCTCCTCTTTTCGGCTTAAACATCACTTCCTATAGGAAACGTGTACAATCCATATTGGGCTAGCTTCATCTTTTATATCCCAGTGGCCCTTGAACTCCTATACCTATAATTACTTGTTCAGTGCTTCTCATCTCTACCAGAATATATTACTTATCAAGGTAGGGACCACCTGTGTTTCAGACACTTATTCTGTCCTAAGCGGTTAATTCAGTGCCTGACAGAGAATAAGAACATGAATGAAAGAAAACATTCAGATGGTTGGTAAAAGGAGCATGTGAGTGAATGTAGGAATAACTAAATGACCAATGTGCAGATAATTACCCACTTTCTTTTCCCATAATTCCTCCCATTTCTGCACTCAACTTTCCACAACACATGTCTTAGCAGCAGCATAGAGACCCAAGCCTTTGGAGTATCAGTCTTGATACGTGTCCATCTGAAAATTCAATTTTTCTAAGCTTCACCTGATGATGCAAGTATATCCCAACCATACTTACCTAATGATTCTAAGACTCATCTCCTCACAGAACACAATGCCCAGCAGAAATGGGGCTCACAGAGGATAGGTCAAAATTTTCCAAGAGGAAATTTGGAAACTTTTTTTCTATTAAACTTAATAGTAAATGCTCCAACTTAGATTATGCATATTGGTGGGGGTTGGCGGAGGGTGACAGAAACAGACTGGATTTACGCTTTACCTTGAAATGTAGAGAGAAGTAAGTAAAGCATCAAATTGTGCACTTTTCCTGGGCACCCACCAAGACCATCTTGACTCCTGCTTTGCACCATCGTGAATGTGGCTTTCTAACTGGCAAGAAGATTCTTGCTGGATATTTCAGAGTTACTTCTTTTAGACTGTCTCCCCTGGGGAATGACCCACATTCATACCAAATGTCTTGCCTATAAATCCCGCTGAGAGGGAGGCACAGGGCCCAGGTTCATTGCCATCAGCAAAGGCCAAACCCCAAACTGATGAGTCAGGTTGAACGGCAGCATCTTCCCAGTGAGGAATCAAACCTCCCACAGCTTAACAAGGCAGCCTCCCTACCCCTCGCTTTTGCCTGGCAGGACCTGGGACAGGCGGTGGTGCAGTACCTTGGGCAAAGAGTACTTGGGTAGCTTTATCTGAGCAAAGGCTTCTCTCCGATAGGACACGTAGTAGCTGGCTCTTCCTCCTGCAGTCACCTGGATCAGGGAGGAAACACAAAGAGAGCAGATAAACCACAGTTCATGCCACAACCTGCAAAGCAGCGGGGTCTCCATAAAAAAAAAAAATAAATAAATAAAAATCAATCTGTTTGTGTCTACCTTTTAGAAACAATCCTTCTGGTTTAGAGCCTCTAATCTCACAGAACCAAGAGTTGCTCCCTTGACAAGCAAACAAGCGATTACAAGATTCTTTTCCATTAGCTGGTGTTCTTGGGGAACCCAAGAGATCCTCTCACTGTGCGTCATGCACGTAAGATACACAGCTAACCAGTTTTCAAATGACTGAGAAAAGAGAAGCAACTGATAATGGTTCCACACACAGTCTACTTATTCTGCCTGCCTTTTAAGAATGCTCTTAAGTCCTGTTGAGTTAGAAGCGGCCCATAGCTACCCTCCAAGAGGTTTTCAGAGGAGGTAAATCACATGGGAGGAGACCACCCATCTCCCGTGGAGCAGCCGGTGGATTCAAACCACCTGCCTTCAGGTTGGTAGTGCGGCTCATTACCATTACAGCACTGGAGAAATAATTTAACGTGGTTCGAATCCACCAGATGCTCTGCTGGACGGTACACACACAAATAAGAATAAAAAGTAAAAAATAAAATATTAAAAAAATAATTTACTTATCTGTTGCAACCACCAGAATTTTTATCAAAGATATTTTCCTATGAATATAAATAGTTATTATTGCTAAATATTCTCATTACTAGACTGTTCAAGTTCACTTCTGAGCTGAAACATTTTAAATTCCTTTTTATTTACAAATTATGCTGAATGTGGATATTTATCAATTCTTTGCATGTGCAAGTTCCTAAAAAGCATCAAAGGTCAGAGAAAGAGCTTCGATATTCATGGATTTCAATCCCAGCTTCACTATTTCAATGCCAAAAGGTCATGGGCAAGTTCTGTAACTCCACACGGGAAAGGGAGAGATTGATGGAAGATTCTGGAAACCACTCCAGGAAATGGTCCACTGGCCTGGGCTTGCTACAAGTCCTGCCAACATGGCAGAGCTCTGCAGATGGCTGCTCTCAGCCCAATTATCCTAACTCAGGGGAAATTAATATTCACAGGAGAAGACAACACGGCCCGTTCAGAGAGAAATAGCAGGACAATAGCAAGCCGACTGCTGTTCTGAGGAGGCAATTACTTGGACGCGCATGCTCCGTTCTCACGGAGGTCCAAGCCCAAACTGGAGGTGGGCCAGCCTTCCCATGCTGGCTCCCATCCACAGTGGCTGCTGGGAGACCGAGGGGTCTGACATCTCTATCGAAAGCCACCTACTGCTCCTCACTCTGAGCGATGGCATCTCCCAGGGCTTCCCCTTGCTCTTCACAGACTGGAAGTCCACAAAGCAGGAACCACAAGCTGCCAGGTGGAGCAGATGTCCGATCAGCATGAAGGCAGAATCTTGGAAAAAAACCACTTGGTGCAAAGGCTTAGGCTGTGAACCAGGAAGAGCAACTGGCTTTCTTCATCATGCTCAGTATTATCTATACGCTTCTATTTTCCAATTAGAAGTCTTCTCTGTATTACAGTCCAGGACTCTTTGTTTTTTCTTTTAAATAGCTATATATGGTGTTTTTTTTTCAATAGAGCAGGGTTTAGGGCTGTTGTACATAGGGTCGCTATATGAGTCGCAAACGACTCGACAGCACGTAACAACAACAACATATATGCCCATGTTGATTGAAAGGTGGCCTTATTGGCATGTTAAGATCAAGGAGTTGCTGAAAATTCTGGCTTGTTTGTTTTGTTTTATTAAACGAGTCTGAAAAGCATATTAAAATACAAACCTAGGATCTTGACAGATAGTATGCAAAACTCAAACTCATTACTGTTGAATTGGTGTCAGCTCACAGAAAACTTCCATCGGGCTCCAGAGGCTGTAAACTGCAAAAGTAGAGACGTCTCACCTTTTTCCTGCAGAGCGGCTGGTGAACTTGAACTCCTGGAGATGCTCAGCTCTTGGACTGGCAGCAGCTTGCTACAGACTACGTGACCAGAGCTCCCTGACACACAGTAACAGTCCTTGCACTTTTTAAAACTCTTCAATTTTAATTCAGAGCTTTAAAAGTTGGTTTTATTTTCAATTCTAGAAGTAACAAACAGGAACACGCTTGTTTACATGGGGCCAGTTTCGTATTTTTATAAACCTTAGCAAGCATCAGTCACCTGGATAGACTGTTAAAACACAAACTTCTGGGCGCCACCAGTAGAGTTCCTGACACAGTAGACTTGGGGCCAGGACCAAGAATTAGTATTTCCTTTTTTTAAAAAAAAAATTGTAACTTGGCTGAATATTTGCAGAGAAAGTTTGCTTTTTGTTCAACCATCTATACACATTCTTTTTTAAATTTATATTTTTTAATTTTAAAGAAAGTTTACAGAGACTTCGGATTTCCATTCATTCCTTGTTGCACTTTTCTCCCTTCCCACCCATCCCCCTCAATTCGCTTTTCTTTTCAAAAAGTAAAAGAAAAAAAATTCTTTCATTGTTATTCAATCCCTCCTCCCAAGTCCGCTCCACTATGCTACCTTCATTCTGGACTCATGTCATGACAATAATATCTAACCATATATCCTTTTAAAACAGTTTTCTCCTTCATCGTTTCAGTGCAGTATACATTATTTATCCCCTCTTTCTCAGTCTCCTCCAACCCCAATATCAGTCTTCTTTTATAACTGTGGCATTATACACATTCTGTTTCACACCAATGGCTGTCATCCTCTCAACGTGACAACGTTCATCCGGATTCCTCCCTGAGTCTTTCATTTCCATTTGCCCTTTCCTACCTTCTCAGTGTTTGTTCTTAGTTGACTATTCTGAGGAATGGGTTCCTCCTTGGCGTGATTGTTCACTTGTTAGCTCTATAGTTTGGTTGAAGCTGACCTTTGAAGATGGGTGCATTTCCAGGTGGGCAAGGCTATTCTTTGGAAAGGGACATCATGCTTGAAAAGATGATGGGTCAGCTTGAAAAGATGGAGGAAGACCCCTATGAGATAGACTGACACAGTGGCTGAAGCAAAGGGCTCAACAGTGTCAGAGATGAGGAGGTTTGCAAAGGGCTGCTATGAGTCCTATTCCATTGGATGACCCCTAACAACAGTAACAACAACCATAGTCTTCGGGATTCCTAACAATCATACCAATGAAAGTCTATTATCATACCAGGAAGTCTAAGTCTGGTGAGGTGCTCTGGGTTTGTTTTTTTTTTGTTGTTGTTGTTTTTTAAGTAAGTATTTCCAACAAGTTTTAGGTGATGCTAAAGCAGTGTGTGTCTATACTTTGAAGATCACTGAAATGGACCATTAACAGCAATTTATATATATATTTCTATGCTCTTTACCTGTCTTCTCAGGGTCCTTCCTAGATGTAATGACTTCCCTGGGTTTTGTGTTTCAATGGTGATAAAGAAATTTTACTGAGTTGAAATCCACACAACAATGATCTTTTTCAAGTGTCCAGTTTAGTGGCATTCAGTACGTTCAGAATGGTGAATAACCATTACTTCTATCTCGTTCTAAGATACTTGAATCAATCACAAAGAAGATCCTGTCCCCATAATAAAATCAGCAGCTCAAGTCATTGTCATGACTCACAGCTGGCCCTCCAGGGAGTTTTCAGAGGCGGAAATCACACACATTGACCATCTCTCGCCCATGGAGCAGAGCCTGGACCTAAACCACATGCTTTTGGGTTGGTGCACACCTCTTTTCCCACTAGACCACCAGAGCTCCCTAGCTAACATAAAGGATTTTTAAAAATAGTATTCTACTGCGCTTCGGTAAAGATTTTCCACAGCAGTTCAAGTTTCTGTTCAATAATTTCTACACAAATTGCTGTCACATCAGTTATACACGATGTGAGACATTTTTATTCTTTCCTTTCTGGCTGTCCTGTTTTCAGTGATTTCTTTTCCCTGCCACCTTCGATTCTTATCTTTATTTGAAAGGAATTATTGCTCATTTGGTTCCATGTAGGTGTAGGTTTGTTTTGGTTTTTCTTAAAGGGCAGGTACTTACAGGTGATATTCACTATCTGTGAGCCACTCTGCTATTTGGTGACCTCAAGAGTCACTTTTGGCTCAAGGTTTGGAAGAGTTTGTCAGAGCAATTGTCTCGGAATCCTCCAGTCTCAGCAAGTTCAGTAAGTCATCTGTGGTGGAGTTATTTGGAGGGTGGGCTGGGGGTTTGTTGTTCTTGTTGTTTCATTTTATCTCAATGATAAGATAGGTCGGGTTGTATTTCACATTTAGAGTCCATCTATGTGGCCTTGAAAGGTTAGCAGCAGTAACCAGGAATCATCTCATTCTGATCTCAAGTTAGAAGGGGCAAGTGCCTTTGTGGACTCCTTTCTTCTTTGAGGCGTTGATTTCCTTCTTTGCTACAGTTTGAGGTAAGTGTTGGTGTTGTTTTGTACTGTCAGCATAGATCTGTCTCATATTTAACTTTCCAGTGGGTTTTCAGAGGCAACAAATTGCACCCAAGAGACTTCTCATCTGTCTCCCAAGCAGAAGATTCGAGCCATGTACCTTTTGACAGCACAACTCCTTCTTAACTACTAGGCCATCAGAGCTCCCTCTAGTGCTGTTGTTGTTATTAGGTGTCATTGAGTCAAATACAACTCATAGTGACCCTATGAAAAGCCATCCTGAACCCTGCCCTATTCTGTGCCATCCTCTGACACACTAGAGCCTGCTGATGAAGTCACAGTGTTAATTCATCCCAGTGGGAGTCTTTCTCTCCTTCCTTGAGCACACCTTAAGTCTTCAAACTGACATCATTGTTCTTGGGCATATTAGAGAGGCCGCAGAACAGACTTGCCCAATGCAATATTTCTCCTAATTTCCTGACTGCCAGTACCAAGGGTGTTGCCTTTTGATCCGAGCAAGATGAATGAAGAACAAATTCAATTCTCAAGGTGCAATACTGAAAGATGCTATGGGCACTTCCTTGGGTGATGCAGGAAACAT